CGAGTCCTCAGGTGACTTTGGTTCCTGTCCAGCTCCTGCTTAGSTCCCTTGGACTCTGCTCAAAATGTCGTTTCTTCCGTCCTTCTCGAAATCTAGGCCATGACAAAGTCATGGAAAGGGTTTTCTTGCCCTGCTGGGTGGAGCTGCAGACATTTCCCCCGGGATGTTGGGGCCCGGCAGGAGCAGCCCAGGGCTGGGGGAGGATTCTGCTCGGCAGCTCTTTCTGGAAGGTCCCTGGAATGAGTGAAACTGCTCTGGGTGACACACCAGGCTGTGAAAGGGCAGCACGGGCAGTAATTACTCAGCCATTGTTGAGCTGAAAGGAGCCCCTGGCACAAAATGGCTTTTTATTTCGGTGATGAAATCAGGAGCGGTTGCACCTTCACAGCTTGGATGGGAAAAGAATTCACAGCTTGGATGGGAAGAGAATTCACAGCTCATCCAGTGCCATGGGCAGGGACATTTTCCACTATCCCAGGCTGCTCCAAGCCCCGTCCACCCTAACCCTGGGCACTGCCAGGGCTGGAAYATCCCTGACTGAGGCTCTGCCCTGCAGCTCCGGGCTCTGTCCCGGCCGTTCGGAGGATTTGAGCTGCACCGGATCCTCTGGGAGCAGGGATTAATCTGYTAATTGGATTTGTGGTTGCTTTGGGTAGATGCTTCCTGCAGCAGCCGAGGTGCAGATATAGATCCCACGGGTGCCCAAGGTCGGTGTGGGGCTCAGGGGGTGAGCTCAGTGCTGGTGGCTGTTTGTGTTCGGGACCAGAGCTGCTGATACCCGCTGGGAACCGGTCAGAACAGTGCCCAGGATGGCACAGAACTCCARGAATATTTTCCTGTGATGTTTGGTGGAGTGTCCCTGCAGCGAGATCCCGGGGAGCTGAGATCTCTTTGGGATCCTTTACATTTGGGGTTAACGGTGCACTTCACACCTCGTGGGTGACAGCTTTGTGCTGCTGGGAGAAGCGAGGCTGCGGGAATGGGCTTGCTAAGGGYGCAGAAATAAAACACAATGCTCTCAAAGCCTTCTGCTGCCTCAGGACGGGGCTTTTCCGCTGCCTCCATCCTCCCATGAGGAGCAGACGCCCAAGGCTCGTTCTCACCAACCTGTGTTTGCTACGAGCGGTGCAGGGCTGTGAATGAGCATCTGCGAGGACCATGTGGCCTGGCTGGGGCTCCCAGCGTGTGGCAGATGTGTGTGAAGTCTGCGTTTCACCTTCCCTGGTGCTGGTGACAACTTCCAGGATTCCCACCGGCTGTGTGCCCCGGCACCGTGCCCGGGGAGGATCCYGCGGGGGTGACCCGTCCTTTTTGGGGGATGGAGGGGTGTTGTGTGTGTCCCTGGGCTGCTTTCTGCCGTCCATCGGGGATGGGATGAGCTTGGCACGATCGAGCAGGGCTTTTGGCGGGGTGTGTGGCCAGCTCGGGTCCCAGAGGTGTTTGCTTCCCCTCCGGAGCAATGGGATCGTGTGGGAGCAGTGCTAGGCTGTGTTCCCCTGTGCCAGTTAACCCAGTGCCACCAGCTCAGCTCCTGGGCATTGGGGACTCGCTGGTCTGTGTGTCCTGGCTCAGATCCAGGACTGACCCCCATCCCGGGGGCTGCGGGGGCTCAGAAAGTCCCGGTCCCCAAAATTCCCGCTACAGGATCAACGGCCACGGGCTCAGCGAGCCAGGCACAGGGAACCGGGAACCCACACACAACCTCTCSGTTCCCTTTCCCCGTGTCTCGCTAAACGATGAGAACCGCCCCGAGCGGTGCCAGGCGGGGCCGGAGCGGGGCTGGAGCTGCCGAGCCGCTGATGGATTATCAACACATCGCGCAGTCCTGCGGGGCTGCCAGCGGTTTGTGAGCAGGGAAGGGATGAGTCAGCGCCGAGAAGTTGATTGTTTCCCCACACCCGTCCCCCTCCCACCGCACACGGATCCTCCCCGCTGCCGCTGCTCTCCCTCGGGAGCCCGGCTCACCGTGGGGGAACAGAAAACCCATTGCAAACTGAAGTTTTCAGCAGAGTTGTCGAGGCTGGAAAAGCCCTGGAGATCGCTGAGTCCAAGCGTTGGCCCGAGTCCACCAGCAGCCCGTGTCCCCAAGTGCCACCTCCACCCACGCTGCTTTTGCYTTAAATGTGGCTGCATCAGATCTTCAGCACCGGCTGATCCTGGCCGATTTTCAGGGGTTTCAGGCCCAAGCCCMGGCCCCAGCAGCTGGGACAGCCCTGGTGGCTGATGCTGTGGCTGGTGGGAGAATGTCCCCAGGCCACTGGCCACCACCTCCTGCTGCCCTGCACAAACATCAGCACGTTCTGTCTCGGAGCAGTTTAGCTCCTTCATTAACACATAGTTGGTATTTTTATTAAAAATGGCTCGTGTCTTGCTTGAGAGTGTGGAAAAAAGAACTTTTAGTCTCTGACACAGGCAAAGCAAAGCCCTGAGAGCTGAGTTCCCACTGCTTCACCTTCTGGAGGGGCAGCTGGCTGCCGCGGTGCCAGCAGGGATGGCAGGGATGTGGAACAACCTGTTTGCGTCTTGTGGGCTGGGTGTGGAAGGGAAGGGCCCACAATAGCTGCCGTGGTTCTCCCAGAGCGATACTGTGAGTCAGCCGAGCAGCAGCTCCTCCTCCCCGTGTGCTCGGCAGGGAGGGGAGAGCCCCCGGCTCTGCCTCCTGCCCTTCCCCGGCTCTGTTTGCACCTCTGGGAGGGGTGAGATGCTTCACCCGGGGGTTCTTCACCTCTGGGATGTGTGTTTTGGCAGCTCGGTACCGCTCCCGTGATGGCCCGAGCTGYTGTCCCGCTGCATTTCAGGGTTTTCACTCCCAAATCCCTTTGGCTCTGCYCCAGGCGTGGGTGGCTGTGCTGCTGCCAGGCTGTGTGCCCTGTGCCCTGCTCCCTGGGACCCCCCAACAATGACACAGATTCTCTTCCGAGCCACATTTTGGCATATTTAGCTTTTCCAGCTGCTGTGGTTTCCCTTAGTCTCAGTTTAACTTCACCCCTGCAGCTCTGGGCTGGCTTTGGGGTGAGACATTTGTTAAACTCTCGTGGTCTGTAGGTTTTGTGAAGGTTTGCAGGTTTTGGGGTGTCAAAGGGGCTCTGTGGGAATTCACACCGTGCTGCTGCTGCTGCTTTTAGGGGATTTTGTTCAAATCCCACTGCCCAGCGTGGGCTCCCAGCGGTGGGAGAGGCCACGGGAAGCCTGGAGCTGGTTCCTTGGGAGAGCTCCGGAGGAAGCTCGTGAGGCTCTGGGCAGGGGTCCAGCTGCCTTCCTGCACTGCCCCGGCTGCTCCGGGGCTCATCTTGGGCTGGTGGGGCTGGGCTGGGCATGGGGGACAGCAGGGTCCCCTCCCCGGGCTGTGGGGACAGCTCTGTGTCCCGCTGGCTTTGATGTGGGGCTGGAACGCCCCGGCAGGAGCCGAGGGGGTGGAGGGAAAGGCGAACCCACAAGATGGATATCGGTGTTTGAGACACTCCCCGAGCTGCCCCGGTGCTCGGAACGGGCCAGAGGAGTGCAGGAACAGTGCAGAGCCCTCCTGTCCCAGGGCTGTGGCACCCAGGGCTGGCTTTGGGGCTGGGGATGGGATTTCTGGATGCCCTGGTCCCTGTTCTCTGGTGGGTCAGGAGCTTGGTGACAGTGGCCAGAGCCCCGTGCCAGCCCCGTGCCAGCACTCCCGAGGTTTCCAGTCCAGCCACATGGGAAGGGAGAGGGCCAGGGGGTGGTGGAGGCTTTGGGAATCACGGAGAGCCAGCCTTGCGTGGATCCCCCAACAGAGCCACCCCATTGTGGTGTCAGCACCTCGGGGCAGTGGGAATTGTGCCCTTCCCACCACTGAGCCGGGGTGGGGGTCATTTCCTGGTGACCCCTGGCCTGGACCTCACTGCTCCCGTGTGTGGTGGCCATGAGTGCCCTGCTGGGCTCGGCACCTGCAGAACCGGCTGGCAAAGCCAGGGCTGGCAAAGCCACGGCTGGCAAAGCCAAGGCTGGCAAAGCCAGGCCCGGCTCGGTGGCCCTGGAAATCTCCGTTTCCCCATGCAGGAGCAGAGCTGCAGCTCTGCCATCTGCTCACCYCTCTCTTTGAGGGACGCTGTGGCCGTGGCTGCCCTCTCAGGGGGCACAGGGGGACGGTGGCCGTGCCACCAGCCGGTGCCACAGCCGGTTCTGTCACTGTCACTGCGGCGCAGGGGCCAGCGCCTGCCAAGGGATCACATTTGAGTGTTTGCAGAAGGGTTTGAGACACAATGTGTGGTGCAAAGTACAGATTGCTCCAGCCAGGAGAGCAAAGCAATGTGGAGGCAGGTTGTTCCTGGTCGGCTGGTGGTGTTGACACTSGGCTGGCACGTGGCCTGTGTGCCCAGGGACATTGGGGGACACGGGGGACGGGCTGGGGCTGGCCCAGCGTGCACCCACGGAGCCTCTTGGGAAGCTGCAGCCTGCCATGCTGGAAGGGAAAGCTTCCAAAGGCAGCCCTGAAAAGAGCTGACAGCGCTGGGCTGTCCCCAAGGCTCGCTCTGATCCAGACTCGGCTCTCAGTGCTGGCTCTGCTCCTACGAGATGCTGYCGTGTGTGTGGCTGGGGCCAGGACACGGCCCTTCCTCCAGGAACAGCCCGGGGTGGGGCTGAGCCCTGCGCTGGGAAAGACGAATTAAAGGAAGTGGAGAGCAGAGCTGGCATTCCTGGGCTGCAGTGGGGTCCCTTGGCTCGCTGACCCGTGCCCTTGGTGGCACTGGCAGCCCTGGCTCTGCCCTTGCTGCCCATCCCTGGCTCTGCCTGTGTCCTGTGAGCTGCCCTGGGTGCCAGGGCTGTGTCTGTCCCTGTGCTCACCCCGCGGTGCTGCTGCTTGTCCTGTTCCCCTCTTGCCCAGGGTTCCCCTGTGGGTCCCCGTGTCTCACTGCAGCTCCCAAAGCAGGGCATGGGGGTGCTCCAGGAGCCCCCTGCTCTGTCTGGAGACCCTCCTTGCCCTCATTGTGCTGTCTGCCCCAGCCCTGCGTGTCCCCTGAGCCTCACACCCCTCCCTGTGTCTTGTCTGTGCAGGGGACGTGCTCTTCCAGATGGCAGAGGTGCACAGGCAGATCCAGAACCAGCTGGAGGAGATGGTGAGTGCCCATCCTGGTGTGCCAGGGTCTCTGTCGGTGCAAAATSCTTCTCCAGGCCTTGTCCACACCACACCAGCCCCTGTGACACGATGAGCTCCAAAGGGTCTGCACTGCTTGTKCCCTCTGTGCCTGTCCCTGTCCCTGCTCTGGTGCCACCCCTGGTGCCACCTGCCGCTCCCCAGGCAGGCTGTGCCAGCYCTCCCCAAGCCCTGTGTGTTTTCTTTCTCCCTGCAGCTCAAATCCTTCCACAACGAGCTCCTGACGCAGCTGGAGCAGAAGGTGGAGCTGGACTCGCGGTACCTGAGTGTGAGTTGTGTGTGTGTGAGTGTGGCACAGCCCCGGGCTTGGGTGTCCCTGGGTGTCCCTGGGTGTCCCTGGGTGTCCCTGGGTGTCCCTGGGTGTCCCTGGGTGTCCCTGGGTGTCTCTGGGTGTCTCTGGGTATCTCTGAGTGTCTCTGGGTGACCCTGGTGTCTCTGAGTGTCTCTGGGTATCCCTGGGGATCCCTTGGTGTCCCTACAGGCCCTCGGGTGTCCCTGGGTGTCCCCCATCTTCACTCCCTGCTCAGGGATGCCATGTCCTGCCACAGCTGCTGTTTACACACGGTCCCCAGTGTCACACAGGTATCACGCAGGGCACAGCCTCGTCCCCYGTTTTCTGTCCCGTGAGGATCCCACTTTTCCAGGGCTCTGCTGTTTCTGTCACCCTTTGGCCGCAGGAGTCGTGGCCAAAGCTCAGAGCTCTCTCCCATCACATCCAGGCTGCGCTGAAGAAATACCAGACAGAGCAGAGGAGCAAGGGGGACTCCCTGGACAAGTGCCAGGCTGAGCTGAAGAAGCTGCGGAAGAAGAGCCAGGGCAGCAAGAACCCGCAGAAATATTCGGACAAGGAGCTGCAGGTAGGACCCGGGGCTGGGGACATGGCTGGGGACACGGCTGGGGACATGGCTGGGGACATGGCTGGGTTTTTGGTGGCCAGGCTCTGGTGAAAATCTTGGCAAGGACTCGCTGCTGTCCCCAGAGGAAGGGGTACAGCTTTATAGGGCCGGTGGCTGCGGGAGGGGTGGGAATGAGGCTGGCATGGGGCTGGAATGGGGCTGGAGCCTGACCCCGCTCCATCCAAGCTTTTCCCTTTGGCCTCCATGAGTGACCCCAGCGGGTCATTGATCCCTGCCGTGCCCCATCCATCGTGCCCAGGATGGTTTTTATCGTGTTCTCCATGCCTGTGCCCCATCCATCGTGCCCGGGATGGTTTTTATCATGTTCTCTGTACCTGTGCCCCATCCATCGTGCCCGGGATGGTTTTTATCGTGTTCTCTGTGCCCGTGCCCCATCCATTGTGCCCGGGATGGTTTTTATCGTGTTCTCCGTGCCTGTGCCCCATCCATCGTGCCCGGGATGATTTTTATGGTGTTCTCTGTACCTGTGCCCCATCCATCGTGCCCAGGATGGTTTTTATCATGTTCTCCATGCCCGTGCCCCATCCATCGTGCCCGGGATGGTTTTTATGGTGTTCTCTGTGCCTGTGCCCCATCCATCGTGCCCGGGATGGTTTTTATCATGTTCTCCATGCCTGTGCTCCATCCATCGTGCCCGGGATGGTTTTTATCGTGTTCTCTGTGCCTGTGCCCCTTCCCCCTCCCGCGGGGGTGGCACCACCGGGGGCGGCTGCGCTGAATCACCACGGTGTGATCGGTCTGATGGCTCTGATGGGCGTGATGGGGGTGGGCACCGCGCTGGGGGCCGGGGTCCCTGCTGGGGGCTGCGCTGTGGGGTGGGCACGGGGGGATGCAGAGCTCCTCACAATGGGGGAGGAGGGTTTGGGTCTCACTGAGGAGCATCCAGGTCACGGTCCTGGCAGTGCCAGGGGGCTGTGGCACTCAGGGCATTGATCTGGATCCCTCAGGGCACTGATGGGTGGCACTCGGGGCTCTGATGGATCCCATTTGGGGCTCTGACTGATCCCTCACGGCACTGATGGATCCCATTTGGGGCTCTGACTGATCCCTCACGGCACTGATGGATCCCTCAGGGCATTGATGGATCCCTCAGGGCATTGATCTGGATCCCTCAGGGCACTGATGGGTGGCACTCGGGGCACTGATGGATCCCATTTGGGGCACTGACAGATCCCTCACTGCACTGATGGATCCCATTTGGGGCACTGACAGATCCCTCACTGTACTGGTGGATCCCTCAGGACATTGATGGATCCCTCAGGGCACTGATCCACAGCAGGACCTTGTGCCCTCTACCCTCTGCAGGCTCCCCTTTGAGCTTTGCCCACACCAGGGCTGACCCACGCAGATTTTCAGGGATAACTGATGTGCCAACATGCCCTGGCTGACAGTCGAGCGGCCATGGAGCGATGGTGGCACACGAGGTGCTCAGAAATGGGGAGATGAGTTCCTCACTAAGGAATTTCTCAGCGTTGTCTCCAAGACAGGGCAGTGTGTGTTGTGCTGGGACCATGGTCTGGTCCTTCAGTGAAGGTTCAGAGATGTGTGTCTGCTGAAGGACACTGAATCCTGTGTCACTGCTCAGGGGGTGAATTGAGTGGCACCAGCAGGGAGTTACAGCCAGGTTTGTGCTGGTGAAGTGACTGAAATTTGTGTGCTGAAATTTGGGAAATGGTGCTGTGAACCAGAACAGGTACTGAAGGAGAGGAGAGCAGCTGCTGTGGCTCAGCCTGTGGGTCGTGTGTGGAGCCAGAGCTCTGAGAGATGCTGGAGCAGGGCTGG